TAATATTGTGAAATATTATTACAATTTCAAATAGCTGTTTTCTGTTTTAATATATGTTCAAATGTAATTTATTCCTGTGGTGAAAAAGCTGCATTTTCAGCATTAATATTTCAGTCTTCAGTGTCACATGATCCTTCAGAAATCATTCTAATATGCTGATTTGCTTCCAAAGAAACATTTCATGTTATTATCAATGTTGAAAACAATTGCTGCTTAATATTTTTGAGAAAAACTATTTCATCAGGATTATTTGAGAATTAAAAATTCAAAAGAACAGCATTTATTGGAAATAATAGTCTTTTGTAACTTTATAAGCGTCTGTACTGTCACTTTTGATCCATTTAATGCATTCTTGCTGAATAAAAGTATTGTTTTGGTATGTTGTTTTTTAATAATAGTATTCCGTAATATTATTCACAGTTTTCAATTCACATATATGATTTTTATAAAACAAATGTAATAATTTTATTAATATTTAACTTCTTTCAAACATGGTATACGATTTTTGTCAAAATATATAACAAAAAACAGTATTTGTAGATTTCAGTTAACAAGATTTTTATAAATAAAATTTAATTATGTATTAATATTTATTATAAACATTTGTATTTTAGTTATATTTAAGAAATATATATTATTTAAGAATACTATTTTACAGAAATAGATATAGACAGACAGATAGGGAAAACAAACTGGAGTATAAATGAAGGAAGTTGTGTGAGGCAACACACTGGCCCCGGAGTCGCCTTTTCTTTGGGGTAAACGAACAGAACGGTTCTAGATTGTGCATCGGCTCCAGCACTGTGTTGGTGGCAAAGGGTTTTAAGTGGTTAGGATGAAAGTTCAATGATGAGTTCAATAACAAACATAAGGGCCTAGAAATGGCAGGGGCTTTTGAAAAAGACAGACAAGGGACACACACACAAGCACGCAGCACACACACTCAGTAGTGAGGATGAAGATGTGATGGATATGCAGTGGGAGTACAGCGGAAGGCTCTCTGATGATGAATGATGGGAAGGTTTCCCTCATGTTATTCGAACTGATCTCTAAATATGTTCTCCTGCTCCATATATTTCTATCAAAACACTTTCATGCAACCATCTTTTTCTACGAGCCTTTTTTTTTTCATCTCGTCCTCTTAACGATGACAAACCTTGCATTGTGGCTAGAGTGTTGCTGCTGATGAAGGCCTGGTTCATTCCTGTGCTTACACCCATCATTGTGCTCCTGTAACGTGTGTGGTGTCATTTACACGTGCCCACAAACACACACCATTCATACATGCAGAGAGAAGCAAGCATTTTTAGTGACATTTCAAGAGCAACCGTGTTCATCGTGGAGTTTGTGTTAATTTCACATGCTGGAAAGACTTCCATGAGCCAGACAAAGAAAGAGCAAGAAATTCAGCATACGGTTTAGGTTCAAATTGACAGGTTTGGAACACAACTGAGAATAGAGATAGCATTGCGAAAACAAGTTTGATAAGACTACAGCAAAGCTGTAATTATTTCAGTTCAGAATGCTTAGTCATAATGAAAGCTGCTGACAGAAATACACTCTGTTGTAATCACAGGATTCATGATCTCAATCATTTATGATCTCAACATTTTGCAAAATGCAGAACACTGGATGCCAGATACACTCTTAAAAAAAGGTGCTTCGCGATGCCATAGAAGAACCTTTTTGTCTAAATGGTTCCATAAAGAACCTTTAACATCTGAAGAACCTTTCTGTTTCACAAAAGGTTCTTTGTGGCGAAAGAAGGTTCTTCAGATTATAAAAATGTAAGAAAGAGATGGTTCTTTAAAGGGGTCATATGAAGTTGCTAAAAAGAACATTATTTTGTGTATTTGGTGTAATGCAATGTGTTTATGCGGTTTAAGGTTAAAAAAACACATTATTTTCCACATACTGTACATTATTGTTTTCCACTATGCCCCGCCTTTCTGAAACGCGTAGATTTTTACAAAACTCATCGGTCTGAAAAGCGAGGTGTGCTCTGATTGGCTCAAGCGTGTGATGGAAATGTTACGCCCCTCACCATACTGTGATGCCGTGTCCCGGCCGGAGCGACGAGACAAAAACATTAAAACCCATTACAAACGAGGTTCTAGTCGTGTCCTCTTTTGGAAGACCAAACAAAGTAGTTTCGCTTTCACAATGAAACACAGTGTAACACACGGCGGCCTAGAGTGAGCGGTGGCCGGCGGATTCGATGAAGGAGCGTCCGGAGGGCTTGTGGCAGCCACATGTGATGACCCCAGGCTGGACTCCACTTCGTCCACGGGAAAAGCCGATCCGGCGATCCACAGCACGAAGTTAATGTATTTCCTCAGAAACCAGCACGGATCAGCTCTAGGCATGATGAAGCGGATATCGTCCTCTTTTGGAAGACCAAACAATTTTTAAGAGTGTATATGCAAATATTCTTGCACATCAGAGGTATCATAAATGATAATAAATGAACATTCACAATATTTTATGATTCATATAGTTAATTAATTGAAACAAACTAAACAAAGTTTTTTTTGGTACTGTATATTATTATTATCATTAAACATATTTGTAACAATTCTGTTCTAAGATAATTTACATTATGGAACACTAGATTTTGTACATTTGTGCACATTTCCAAATGTGGTTTCAAACGTTAAAGTATAATAAATAATAAAAATTAACATTCATAATATTGTATCGCTTAATATGTTAGACGTAAACAAATATTGCTCGGGTTAATTTATTATTAATAATAATAATATCATTTTAATTGTTATATTGTTGTTGTTATTGTCTTTATTACTGTTATTATTAATTACATTTGGAGCAGTCCTGGTCTAAGATCATTTACGTTATGTACAGTATCAGATACAGAATTTGTTCAAATTTTTTCAAATGTCAAAATATAATAAAAAAAAGAATATATTAATATTCATTATATATTACTCAACATATTACTTTCTTAGCTGATTAAAACAACCTAAACAAATAATTAATAAAATAATAATTATTATTATTTATTTAACCGTCTTGGTCTAAAATCATTTACATCATGTATAACATTGGATTCTGAATTTGTTCAAATTTGCAAATATTTTTTTTCAAATGTCGAAGTATAATAAACATGACTAAACTAACATTGATATATATCATTCAATATATTACTTTCTTAGCTGACTAAAACAACCAAAATAAATAATTTATTAAATAATAATAATCATCTTCATTATTAATATTAATATAATAATAATAACACACTTAGAGTAATTTATAATAATGCCTTATTTACTATTACTAATGATTATTATTGTTTCTTTAAATGCAACCTAAAAAAAAAACAAATTTTAAAAAGATTTCATCATTACTGTAAATAAAGCATCAAAATTTTCCTGCCCTATACAGAGGAAGCAGCTTCTCACCCTGTGTTCAGGCCAGGGCTGCTGAGACTGGGTGGAGTGGGGCTGACTGTGCTGAGAGGAGGCGGAGTCACGGAGGAAGGGGCGGAGCTCATTGCTGCATGTCCACTGAGGTTGAGAGGGCAGGCCACAGAAGGTGTGGGACTGACGGCTAGAGTCAAGAGGAAGGATTCAGCGTCTGTACTTAGAACCTGAAGAATATGAAGTGTATATTATTCATTGGAACTGCTCTTCTTACCTGTTGTGCTGAGACTGGTTGCGGCCAGAGCCAGTCCCTGACTGGACATCTACAGGAAAAACCAATAAGACTCTAATTAACAAACGTACATCTCCTCATGACGGTCTTTAATATGTTCCTTTACTTCCAAAAGGTCCAATTATCATTTTCTGTTACACACGTCATGACCAGACATGAATCCTCGGTACGTCATTTTGCGCCCATTCTCACCATGCAAACAATATTTGAACACAGCCGTCTGCTGAAACGGCTTGGGGCCAGATCAGGGGCTAAAGCGGTGAGTGGGTGTACCATGTGCGGGCTGTAGCAGGGCGTTTTGTGCATCTGCGCCGGAGGCTGATTGGGCAGAGGAGGGGTGGCGCTGCTGGGGTTTATACGCTTCTCTTTCTGCCGCCGGTTGCAGAACCAGACTCGGATGACCTCTTTCTCCATGTTGAGCTGCTCGGCCATCAGCAGGATTCCTTCAGAGGTAGGCTTCTGGTTCTGGGGGTGAGATAAGGTGCATGAGTATATGAGATATGACAAAAACACCTGGACCAAGGCCAGGATTCAGCCCGAAACTATTACATGTTGATGCATGAAATGCATGACATAAATCAAAGGAGCAGTTGAGCAACTGGCACTCAAAAATGCATGTAAATACAGATTTGTTGAACCCTTAAGAACGTTTAGGAACTGACCATAATGCTTACATAAAGTAGAGTTACTCAGAAACGGAAAGAAACACCAACTCAAGTGTATTGGCTGTTTGCCTTGACTTGATCCTTGGGTTTCCTTGGAAAAACACATCAGTCTTACCAACACATGTGTGGTGCTAACCAGAGAAGAAGTGTGGTGCAGTGCTTTTGTGACGCATGCGCAGTCATACAATTTGGGGATTAATTAATCTGTATTGTGTGGTATAAGACACTGAAATGATCTTGAAAGGGGAGTAGTTTGGGTTTACTCTCCTTTTTGGTTTTTAGATTAACCAACTCTTAATGCAACTTGGTGTTCTTGTGTAAAGCAATAAACATTATTTTATTTAATTATTTTATTTTAAATATGTATTTATTTGTTTATTCAATCCAAATCAACTTACAAACTAAGAACATTTTATTTTATTTTATTATATTATAAATATTTGTTTATTCAATCCAAATAAACACACAAACTAAGAAAATTTTATTTTATTTTATTCAAAGCAACTTCCAAATAAAGATTGCAAGCATTGCAATAAAATGCATAATTATATATATATATATATATATATATATATATATTATAATAATTATGCATTTTATTGCAATAATATATAAAATTATATTTTGGAATGTTGTTTTATTTATTTATTTTATCCAAATTAATTCATAGCATATCATAAGAATTATGATTATGAATAGATACATTGTATTATATATTATATTTTGGAATTATATTTTATTATTTTATATTATATATTGTTATATTTTGGTATTATATTTGATCATTATATTTTAATATTATTTGATTTTATCCAAACAGACCTTAAAATTAACAACATCACAAGCAGTTTATAATAAGATGTAATAAACATTATCATCTTTATTATTATATTATATATATATCATTGTATTTTATAATTATTTCGTAATTTTTTAATAAAAATATTATGCTCTTTTTTTATTTGTTCTTTTTCCTTAGTTGGGAACCACTATCAAATTCCTATATTTTTCCAAAGAGAGTAAGTAAAGTAAATGCATCTAATTTAATGTCTAATGCATACTGTAAAAATGGTTAAGTAATACTTCTACAATCATGCCAGATGTATAAGGGGTTTAATGTGGTGACGCAATTCTTATACTGTATATTGCAATAAATTAGGTTGCGGCAGACTTCTGATTCTCCAGAGAGAACACAAAAAAAGGCATCAGCATTTTCAAAAACCAATATATAATTTTTTATCACGAGACAGCAAAATAGAGGTCGTTTCTGAAGCTGAGGTGTGCTAGTGTACAGAATGATCCAAATCATGTGAATGAGAAACAATTTCTGTGGAAAGAAAATGCAAATCTTGATGTGTGCGTCTAACCGAGATGAAGTTGCGCTCCAGGGCTATGCGGACGTTGGTCTCGATGCTGGTGCGTTTCTTTCGGCGGCGTCCAGGCAAGCCTTCGAAGCCCAGCAGAGGTGAGGACAGCGAATTGGGGCTCGGCAGCATGTTGTCTATGGCCATGGTTTCTGTTACACAAACACACACACACACATACTGTTACATGAACCCAGGGAATGCTATTGTGAAACGGCAAAAGGAAACGGACAGCAACACACACCTGCGTCGTTCAGCCATTTCTCCAGCAAGGGTTTGAGCTTGCACATGTTCTTGAAGCTGAGGTTGAGAGCCTCGAAGCGTGAGATGGTGGTCTGACTGAAGTCATTGCCGTAGAGTTTACCCATGGCCATACCTACGTCCCCCTGCAGGAAGACAAGGAGCAGAGTTACCATTCGCTTGTTTTATTCATTTATCCCTCTGCGGACAGGACTGCTTTACCTTGAGGACAGGTCAGTTTACATTTCACATACATACAGTGGGTACGGAAAGTATTCAGACCCCCTTAAATTTTTCACTCTTTGTTATATTGCAGCCATTTGCTAAAATCATTTAAGTTCATTTTTGTTCCTCAATGCACACACAGCACCCCATATTGACATTTTTGCAGATTTGTTAAAAAAGAAACCTGAAATATCACATGGTCCTAAGTATTCAGACCCTTTGCTGTGACACTCATATATTTAACTCAGGTCAATACCAACTATCCTCTGAGAAAATCCTCGAAGAATTTTAATCTCAGCCAGATATCAGCTAGCCGTATTATTTCTCACAAAGCAACTCCTCATTTGATCGTCAATGAAGAGCATAATTACAGCTACATTTCTCATTGGGCCAACTGTTTGCATCCAAGTTATGGGTTTAGACCTTTTTTGCCAACTTTCTTGGAAAAATAACAGTACAGCTGGTATCCCATGTGATTTAAAAAAAAAATAAAAATCAATAAAGAAATTCTGATCCTAAATAATGCATTAAATTAATGCATAAAAAAATTAAATTTGGTATTTAATTAAAAAATAAATGTAATTAAAAAATTTTAAAAGCTAATGAAAAATGTAATGTAAGCTAATGCCTCTCCTAATTATATACATATCCTTATATATGATCAATAAGTATTATTTCAATAAAAATACTGTTTCATATTCTAAATATTTATTAAAAATGCATTAAACTTGCATTAAATTCTTATCAAATCAATTAAAATATATAAAGTATTTTTATGTCATTACAAAAAATATGACAGTTGCATATTTTAAATATTTACTAACAATTTAAATGCATTAAAGCTGTATTAAAATGGCATTAAATGAATTAAAATAAATACATTTATTATTTAGTAAGATTAAAATGCCTCCCTTAATTATGTTATAAATAATCGTATAAATAAATATGATAAATAAGTATTGTTTATTTCAATCATTTCATTGTATTTATTAATTGCATGTCAAAAATAAGTGTCTCGAAAGAAAGTTTATATATAAAGTTAGATTTTTTAAAAACATGTTTTGAACTGTGACAGAAAATATCAGAGATCACCACACACACACACACACACCTGTGTGAAGCCCAGTTTAATTCTCCTCTGTTTGAAGGTTCTGGCAAACTGTTCGAGCTCCTCCAGATCGCTGGGCTCTTCGGGGTGAGCGGTCACTGTGGGCGGGGCTGAGGAGGGGGCGGAGCTCACGGCGCTCTCCATGCTCTTCTCCCTCTGCAATGACCACAGCCTGTCGTCAAGATGATGCTAAAGCACAGATTGGGGAAACACACTACTTTCTCAAACACAGGTGTAGTGTACGACAGACAGCGCTTCCATTTCAAACATATTACAAAAGATTCCCCTCAAGTTTCACATTATATTGATTTCTACCCCTAGATTTTCCCACTGTTTAGAGCTGAAAGGGAACAAATCTAGACTCTGGCATACTATAGTAAGTATACACTCTAAAAAATGCTGGGTTAAATATAACCCAGCGCTGGGTTAAAAAGGGACAAAGCCAGCTACTGGGTTGTTTTGACCCAGCGGTTGGGTTGCTTTTGAACCCAACCGCTGGGTCAAAACAACCCAGTAGCTGGCTTTGTCCCTTTTTAACCCAGCGCTGGGTTATATTTAACTCAGCATTTTTAGAGTGTACTACAAACTTTTAGAAGTATACGATATACACTAACATTCCAAAAGTTTGGAGTCGGTGAGATTTAATTTTTTTTTTAATTAATAGTTTTATTGAGGAAGCACTTTTGGAACGTTAGTGTATATTGTATACTTCTACAAGTTTGTAGTACACTCTAAAAATACTGGGTTAAATATAACCCAGCGCTGGGTTAAAAAGGGACAAACCCAGCTATTGGGTTGTTTTGACCCAGTGGTTGGGTTCAAAAGCAACCCAACTGCTGGGTCAAAACAACCCAGTAATTAAAAATAAAATAAAATAAAATTGCCGTATTAATGCAAGGCTTTCACTGTAAACATTACATTATTTAATAATACATTTAATAGCATAATATAATTACATAAATAATGTAACATAATATAATTATTTAAACTATATTAAAACAATCTTGTTTTGTATTAGAATTATACATATAATTAAATAAAAATGATTTATAATATAAATTAAAAACATTTATTCAAAATTCTACTTAAAGGTATTAAATACATTTAAATAACAAAATTCACTTATTTTTACATTAGGATTTTCCAAATTTAAGTAGTTTTATTAACTTATATATTTATTAAATATTTAAATACAGTATTGCAAGGTTTCCAATGTAAATATGTTTCTTATTCATTTATTTACAAACTAATGGACAAACTGCATTTTCTTATATTCTGTTCATAGCTGGCTGCATGCCACAGATGCTGTTAAAGAAGTTTATTTAACCGGGAATGTTCTTGCAACTGAAATACAGGAAATGCAAATCTGGCCTGCGCTTTCCTGAAAACCTACAACCGCAGCGCTGAAGGTACCTGGGCAGTGAGCTGGATAGGCTGTGACAGAAGTGGAGGCGGAGCTTGTTCAGGTTTGGCTTGAGACTGGGCTTGTGCTGCTGCCTGATTGGCCTGCTGCTGCTGTGTCTGCTGCTGCTGATTGGCCGCCGCGGCTGCGTGGGCGGCATGCGCGGCGTTCGACTGCTGCATGGCTGCGGCTAACAGCTGCGCTTGAGCCTGCTGCAACAACAGCTGCTGATGTGCAGGAAGGAGAGCGGCCAGCTGAGAGTGGAAGGAGAGGAGCGAGGGATGAAGAGAAAAGTTGGAGAAAAGAATGGCGTCACCAAGCAGAAAAGGCGGCGTCTGGAGCACTTTCTCTTAAGCAAGCAGGGCCTAACATGGCATCCGCAGCACGGTTAAGTTAGAAAGGCACGTAGATGCATTTAGTTAATATAAGCAAGAGAGCGAAAGAGAGCAAGAGAGAGATCCATGTATCTATTTAAATGTATGCATTTGGCAGATGCGTTTATATTTAACATCGCATTCAAGATACACATTTTATCAGTTCCTGCTGTCCCTGGGAATCGAACCCATGACCTTGGTGTTGCCAGGTATGTTACACTGTTTGTATCCATATAATATCTATATTTGTTTTCACTGAGATTAATTATTACATAATATAGCAAACAATAATACGTTTATTTCAGGGTTTTGTTTTGCCCTAAATTTGCACTACTGGTTTCGTTAAAGAGCCACAAAGCCAGTGTTTTCACTCAGAAATTGCTAGTAAATTTCACAAAGAATTGACATGTAACACATTGAATTAAACAATTTGAAGTAGAAAGACTGAAATAGTATTCTCTTATAAAATATTCTCCAATCATACAACTTAAAAAATTTTTTTTTTACAGTGTATTCATGATTTATTTACAGTTGTCGCTGCATGTTGCTCTAGAAAAAGGGAAAGTCATGTATAAAACGTGTAATTTGTATAATAAAAATATATAACTGAAATGTTTAATTTGGTAAAAATGCCACATTAACAATCAAGATGGAACATTTGAATCGGATAATTTTTTTAACTCATTAAATGTATCATTTATTATATTTAATTTTAAAAATGAGCACTTAAAATCTTGGCGGTTTTGAGATTTTTTTATTTATTTTACTTTTTTTTTTTTTTTTTCAATTTAGGCCATTGGCCACAAGTGAGATAAATGAAAATGAGATAATGAAAATTCAACTAAATGAATAAATAAAATGTTAATTTCTGCTTAGTGCTGTTTTCTTTCCCCTCAAAAAAGTCAGATATTTTGTTTTAAAATTTTCACTAGCCTACATGTTTGTCTCGTCACGCAGACCTGTGTATGTGTGTGTGCGAGCTCATACCCCTGCGAGCTGACTGCCTGCCAGCATGAGTTGTGTGTGTGGCAGAGCCGGCTGAGCTGGAGGAGGTGGAGGAGCGTGAACACTGGTCATCGCAGCGGCCTCCTCGGCTTTCACCTATCAAACACATTAATAAATTAAGAGTTTGGTTCCAAAATGCGATAAACGCCATTTAAAAAAAAAAAAATTGAGTTCCCGCCAAAATCAGTATTGTATCTGGTCGATACTGAAAAGTCAGTTTTTAATTTTCCGCAAAATGCGATATCCGCCATGTTATTCTGTCATGTTTTCTCCCTTTCTTTCCAAACCGTGACAAACGCTTGTCTCCCTTCTCTGCAGAATGAGATACATCCGCTCAACCAATCACAGCGCACCATTCCACGCATTGTAAACAGTAACAACCAATCACAGCGCACCATTCCACGCATTGTAAACAGTAGTGGCGGCGCTTTGAATACACCCGGCATCCTATTTTTCCTTCCTCTTTACTACTAGTTTTAACGTGAAATAAACATGAATGAACATCTCATGCCTCATGTAATCGCTCAATCAGCGTTTCAACCACGGAAAGACAGCAATAAAACAGCTTATAAACAAAATGTAATGTAGCATTTCATTTACCTCAGGAAGTCATCAGTGTCCACAGCTCGTTAGTGCGCTATAAATGAAGTCTAATGAAGAGCATTTCGCGATATTCTTAATTATTTAATGTTTAAATAAATCTGTTATGAAACGAGTTATGAGAGGCACTGTGTAAATTTATATATTTCAACAGCAAATATCATTTTTATAATTTAGAAGTTAATTTAAAAACTGCGTTAGGTGCAATTTACATGTTTGCGTACTTTTTTTTTTTTTTAAGTTGAGTGTTTGTTATATTTAAAAAATAAATGGTAATTAACTGTGTTGTTAACTGTAACCTTATAGTAGGCCTAATGTAAAAGGGCTCGCTGTAGTTTAGAGCATATGCTGTTACACCCCTAGTTTTTATAATAAATCTTTGAATTTTTAATGTTATTATAACCTAAAGATGCTTGAAACAGAAAATAGTGGTTTTCATCTTGCCACTTTCTTGGTAAAGAAAACACATTTTTACTCAAATGAATCCAAATGGATTTATAGCTTTATGGAACCAAACTCTTCAGATATCAATCTGTGTATATGTATATCATAAACACTCACATAAACACTAATAATATAATCCACTAACACTCTTCACACATACTTACACACACACAAAATCACATAAACATCAACAATATAAAACACACACAAAAATGCATCTTGCAATATAATTTCTATTTCTGTTTGTTTTATTTTTATTTATTTATCATATTCAGTTTCCGTAAAATTCTATTAAAATCCATTAAAAATGCACTAAATACTAAGATTAAAAATAGCATTATTCATTTTTATTCCCTTATCTGCATCAAATGAACAGTGAATCATTTGTTACTGGTACAGCTGGTTTATAACTGATATGCAAATTGCCGTTACTAAATGTCAACGACCGATTACGCCAACAACCACTTCATGTCTTTTCTTGACAAAGACAAAAACCACACATAAAGTCCATTTCCATATGTAAACACGCACACTTCCAGTTATTCATTTGATTACTCACCGCTTCAAGAGAAGAGAAGCAGTTCAAATGGTTTAGTCATGTAAATATCCAGCCAGAATCTCTCTGCTCACTACAACTGTTTACAACTCTTTTTACCTCACTTCTGATTGATCCATCTCCTTATAAACATTTCATGCTTCAACTCCCTCTCTCTCCCTCCCTCTCTCTCTCTCTCCTGAATCTTGTCTAGCATCTTGTTAGGAATGCAGCTCAAAATGACTAAAGAAATCTCATTTGCATATTACAATGTTAACAGAGAATTACCTGAGGGCATCCATGTTAGCAAAAATGGACATAACTAAATAATTTTTATTTTATGTATTTTACCATTAACACACACACCTTTGTGTTGCTGGGTGCGGGAGACAGGCAGAAAGGACTTGTTTTCATCGGCTGGGTCTGAATGAGACGAGAAAAATTGATTAGGGGCAAAATGGATTAATCTCACTGGCCTCAACTCTCTCTCCTGTATCTTGTCTGGCATCTTGTTAGGAATGCAGCTCAAAATGACTAAAGAAATCTCATTTGCATATTACAATGTTAACAGAGAATTACCTGAGGGCATCCATGTTAGCAAAAATGGACATAACTAAATAATTTTTATTTTATGTATTTTACCATTAACACACACACCTTTGTGTTGCTGGGTGCGGGAGACAGGCAGAAAGGACTTGTTTTCATCGGCTGGGTCTGAATGAGACGAGAAAAATTGATTAGGGGCAAAATGGATTAATCTCACTGGCCTCAACTGAATAACTTTAGCTTGAATAAATAATCTAAGACAGAACATATCGCAATTTTAGGCTTCAAAAGTAACTGTGTGTTGAATTAGAGGTCTGGTTCTCAGTCAAATATACACTCTTAACAATAAAGGTTACAAAAGGTTTTTGCAACAGTGCCATAAAAGAATTTCAGCGAACAGTTCTTAAAATAACCTCTTTATTTTTTCTTAGTGTGACAAAAGAACCTTTTGTGGAATGGAAAGATTCCATGGATGTTCATGATTCTATATGGTTCCAAAAGTGTGTTTTTGCAGTGATTCCATAGAAGAAGCATTTTTGGTTCCTCAAAGGACCTTTCAGTGATCAGTTCTTAAAAGAACTGTAATTTTCTTGGTGTGAATTTTGATCTAAAGAAACTTTTTCCACTATAAATAACTTTTTTTTGCAATGGAAAGATTCTATGGATGTTAAAGGTTCTTCATGGAACCGTCGACGCCAACAAAACCGTTATTTTTAAGAGTGTATCAGTATTAATACACTGTTCAATATTTATTCACTTTGTAACCATCACACTTTTCATTGTATCTGTCCATACTGTTAATGCAGTAAGCAACAAACTTTAACTTCAAAGCGGGAAAATGAACATAGTTAGCCACGGGACTGTCCCTGCATTCATCTGGGACGACATTTGCAAATGACGAATGCTGCGCGTTATTAAAAGAGAGGTTTGATCTGTTGGTTAACGATACTGATTCTATGAACATACATAAATGGTTTTCAGCATCTTTTGCCACATAAGCTAAATATATGTATTTTGTTTTTCCTCAAAATCAAATCTTTGACAACCCTGATCTAGATGGTTAAGTTTCTTTGGAGAACCTCTTTCATTTTTGTATTAACACACTAATAAAAAACATGCACTAAAAGATGTTCACACACCTGATCGCTGGCCTCTGGACTGTTCCTCTCAGAGTCTGTAGAAACACACACACACACACACACACACACACACACACACATGAAGGACATGCATCATTCAAGCTCTCCCTTGTGGTTGGTCATTTTCAGAGACTTCCTATCCTGTGGGCAAAAATGATTTCAGGGCAGCACTTCTTTCACGATCTGCTTTTGCCACAGGTAGAAACACACACACACACACACACACACACACATGAAGGACACATCAGGTCAGAATAGTGCCTCAGGCTCCGGCCCTCACATCAACAAAAGCGTGGTCTGGTTAGCCAGAGGCATTGCATTATTGGAATACCATGGAGCGTTTAACCTGGGTTACTGTATGCTGCTGTGTGTGTGTGTGTGTGTGTGTGTGTGTGTGTGAGAGAGTTTCAGATTGGGGCCACGGCTGACTAAAGTGTTCTGTGTGTGATTCAGACCCAAGTGGAAAATGTGAGAATTATGCCAAAAGAAAATCTCATCACACTTACACACACACACAAATACATCTAATAATCATGAATCATAGTGCTGTACATGATAAAACACGCTTACACATGCAGTGATTCTATCCAACAATATCATCACACCTTCACACAAACCTCTACATCTTCATTATTTCACATGCTGATAACAATAATTATATTGATTTTATAGACAACATAACACATTTCTACTACATCTTAAAGCATTCAGGCTCACATAGACCTTCAATAATCAATCATAATATTGATTTTTACCTGTACTGTCCACTGGAAGCTCAGTTCCCATCTTGTCGTCCTCGACGGCTTTAGACATCCTGATATCTACTGAAACAGAGAGAGAGACTTCTGGCATTAGCTTTGAAAAGCTTTTCTGTCAATCTACCTTATATCATCAACTACATAAAAGTGTAGCTGACAAATAACCTTGAGGTGAGGAGTCATAATTTAAAACATTTAAATGTCTATTGTAGGTGCTGAAACCTACTAGCTTACTGTCATTTTATGACACATTTGCAAAAAAAAAAAAAAAAAAAAAACCCACAAACGGTCTGTTTTTTTTAATTTTACATAATTCTTTGAAATATCTATTGAACTATTTACGAGTAATAACTACTTTACTAAAGTAACTCAGTTTGATAAAACAATATGAATTCATGCATTTGACTTTTAAGGAATCTAGGACGATAGAAGAATTAAGATTTAGCCAATTTTAGCTTTTTAGTAGTTCACTTACGGTTTTAATTAAAAGTACAAATGTGACCCTGGACCACAAAAGCAGTCTGAAGTCGCTTGGGTATATTTGTAGCAACAGTACATTGTATGGGTCAAAATTATAGATTTTTCTTTTATGCCAAAAATAATTAGGATATTAATCATGTTCCATGAAGATACTTTGTACATTTCCTATCGTAAATATATCAAAAATGTACTATCATTAGTAATATGCATTGCTAAGGACTTCATTTGCACATCTTTAAAGGCGATTTTCTCAATATTTAGATTTTTTTGCACCCTCAGATTCCAGATTTGGAAATAGTTGTATCTCGGTCAAATATTGTCCTATTCTAACAAACCATACATCAATGTTAAAGCTTATTAAATTTATTAAATCTCAATTTTAAAAAACTGACCCTTATGACTGGCTTTGTCGTCCAGGGTCACAAATATTGTCCCCTCATTTTAAAATCCCCAAATCCTCATTTTCATATATTCTTAATCAATAGAATAATAAAAAAAAAAAAAAACAGAAGTGCAATACAATGTATTCAAAAAGTCTGACAGATTATTTAATTGAACTTGAACTAAAAAAAATATTTTATCATTATAAAATAACATTATTGAAATACAATATAAAAATATAATACAATAATATGTGACATCTAACATAATAAAATAATAATATATAAAATATAAATAAAATCATAATAATAATAACAACCTCAACCTCATCCAAACAGTAGATAACAATCAAACCAAAACCTCTAATTATCGAAACAGACACCTTAGAATCAAAAAAGTCAATTTCCATCAGCACAAAATTCAGCGACTGCTCTATCTGTCTTTCCTTTGTCCTTTACTTTTCTATTTCATTCAGTTTTGGTCCTGTTTGACACTCTCTTCATCCTAATACAGCACCTGCGCCTCCCAGAGAGCAGCGGGGATGGAGGGGCATGTCCTATCCTGCACGCCATCATTCATACAGATCCACACTCACGTACACACACACACAAACACACCCGCAATAGCTGTTAATGCGGACAGGAGAGGATCTCATCCCGCGAGAGCACGTGTTGCACTTCGCAGGAGGATAACAGCTTTTCTCTTTCTTACTCACGGTGAAACTGATGGCCGCCTCAGACCATCTACACAGCCATTTCCAAGAACAAATTGATTTCCCTGTCCAGTTTACTTAATGTTAACTAGGTTCATATTACAAGGCTGGAACGTGTACGATGAACATCAGATCTATCATAAAGATTATTTGTATGGAAGCAATCAATGTCAATTAGCAAAAAGGAAAGGAACGCAAAATTAAAATGTGAACATTTTAGAAAACGTGCGAAGGCAGCAAGACGTAAACAAACAGAAAAGTTAACAGGCATTCATGTAAGCAAGAACCGTTATTATACAAACATTAATAAATGTAACTACAAATTTAGATTTATATGCACTGAAAAAATGTAGGTGGGGAACCAAATTTTACTCAGAAATTGCTAGTGATAAAAACAAACGCAAGTAACATTGAAATAAATGTAACATTTTGAAATATTTTTTTTCTTATTAAACACTCTAATGATGTTTTATTTAAAATATATATATATATTTAAAAAATACATTTTACAGCGTGGTTTTGCTGAATTGCATAAAGTAAATTAAAATAAATTTAGTCAAAATAAACGCAATAAAATCAAACTAAAACGCCAGTTTCAGCAACTTAAGTCTCGTGTAAATGATGTAACTACATTGTAAAACTTTTTTTTTAAAGTAAATTAATTGAGTTATTGGACTGAAATAACATTTCAGTTTTAGTACTTCAAAATATCACGTTTATTTCAATGTTACTTGCCATTTCTATGAAACTCTGTGAAATTTACTAGCAATTTCTAAGTGAAACTTGCTTTTTGTCAGCATATTAAACATTTCAATTAGACAACAGACCTCACTACTTAAAAGATTTCATTAAAAACTGAAACTGATCAGAACTCAAATGCATGAATGTTTAAAAATGATCAGACGAGTCAAGAAAAGTCATTCTCAAGCCTTTCAACTAATCAAACAAACACTGACCAACTCAAAATAATCACATACACAAAGCTACATTTTTAACCTGATATTCAAGTAATATTAGAAAAAGCTGTATTTTAGTGACTAGTGCTACATTATGAGTTACTGCAGGTCGGTGTGTTTGTGACTCACCGGAATGTTTTTTGCTCAGCTCTCTCTGTCCTCCGATCACTCGATGAGAACAGCTCCTTCACTCTATATGCCACTACGCCGGCCGTGGGCGCTTTTTTTTTTTTTTTTTGGTGGTTCACAAATTTCACTTGCTTTAGTCATAGAAGGCAAAGTCAAATTAAAGCCACTTTCCAACCGAGGCAAACGAAACCTCCATCCTCCGCCGCCCACCTCATTCGAGTGAGTTACTAAATTAGGATGAATTACTCACTGATATTGATAGTCAAATGAGTGGAAATGAAAGAAACCTGCTTCCAGACAATCACACCGGTGAGGTGAAGCAGAGATTGCGATTGTAAGCATGGTGTAAATCACAGTCAAAGTGCCACCGAGTTGTTTTGTCATGATGCAAAGCCACGAAAGGCCTAGAGGCGAATATGACGCTCCGGTTGCATAAAAGTGTCTGGCACTTCCTTCATCTGAGCAAGCATCAGACTCGAGACCCTTCGGTCTTAAAAATAAAGGTTCCAGGAACCTTTTTGAGATCCACAAAGAGCTTCTCGTTCTCAGTTTTCTATAGAAAACCATTGATGCTCTGCTGCACGAATGCAAAACTCTGATCTGAAGAACCTGCTGTATAATGTAATGCAAAGAACTTTTATGATCTCTAATCAACCATAAACCTCAAGAAACCTTCATAGCAAAAGTGTGGTTGATGATACATAGTTCAACGAGGCTGTGATATAATAAACAAATACAACACAACACAAACACTTGAAAGATGTATGTAGATGTAGAATAAAGAAAACGCAACACTGCACTCTAAGAAAAGTGTATTGTGTAAATATAATGGATTTCCTTATTGATTTTTCATGGGTGTTTTACCATAATTTAAATTACACAACGCAATGTGTTTCAGGATTAAAGGAAATGTCCAGAAACTTAACGTATATTGTCCTGGCAGGAAATTACATGTACCAGTGCTATTTTTCTGTTGATTTTTGTCTTCGAGTCTGGGTTGTGTGTTACTTTGAGAAATATTAAAGTGTGTTTGCTTTTCATAACTTCAGAACCTTCAAATATGAACATTTGTAAGGTACGTTACAGTATATTTGATGATCATAAAATCTGTCTTCACATTTTAGTCCATATCAGCCAATTACAGCAAGCTTATTGTTTTATAGGTTTATTTTACAATATATTACTATACTGAATATATCATCATACCAATGTTAAAAATGTTAACTACATATTTAAATATACATGATGGTTAAAACATTTTTTGCATTTTATTTTCAGAAGCCTATGCGACACATATAAAGAATTGTTTTCCTTTCAAATATTTTTATCAATAAAAAAAATGATGTTTGCACAATATTTGTTTTCAGCTGTATAGAATAAAAGGCATTTTGCATTATAGCTATATGTTTGTTGAAAGCCTGTGGTTTATTTTTTAGTAATGACTGACCTTTTTATTCGAAGGACACAACAAACATGACTAATTAACCATAAACCTCACAAAGCCCAAATGGAAATATCATTCCGATGACTCTGTTTTGAAATATAAAATAGTGTGAAAAACGTGAAGGTCACATACAGTCGATTCTGTGTCAGTATTAGCCACAAACCTCTTGTGCTGTGTGAGTCAGTGTAGTGTCACCCCCATTTCCTGTTTAACCGTGTGGCCTTCCACTCACTCTCATCACTCACACACACACACACACACACACACACACACTCTCTCGGCAAACGAAACCTCCATCCTCCGCCGCCCACCTCATTCGAGTGAGTTACTAAATTAGGATGAATTACTCACTGATATTGATAGTCAAATGAGTGGAAATGAAAGAAAAGATCGATCACCTGCTTCCAGACAATCACACCGGTGAGGTGAAGCAGAGATTGCGATCGTAAGCATGGTGTAAATCACAGTCAAAGTGCCACCGAGTTGTTTTGTCATGATGCAAAGCCACGAAAGGCCTAGAGGCGAATATGACGCTCCGGTTGCATAAAAGTGTCTGGCACTTCCTTCATCTGAGCAAGCATCAGACTCGAGACCCTTCGGTCTTAAAAATAAAGGTTCCAGGAACCTTTTTGAGATCCACAAAGAGCTTCTCGTTCTCAGTTTTCTATAGAAAACCATTGATGCTCTGCTGCACGAATGCAAAACTCTGATCTGAAGAACCTGCTGTATAATGTAATGCAAAGAACTTTTATGATCTCTAATCAACCATAAACCTCAAGAAACCTTCATAGCAAAAGTGTGGTTGATGATACATAGTTCAACGAGGCTGTGATATAATAAACAAATACAACACAACACAAACACTTGAAAGATGTATGTAGATGTAGAATAAAGAAAACGCAACACTGCACTCTAAGAAAAGTGTATTGTGTAAATATAATGGATTTCCTTATTGATTTTT